TTAAATGATTTCCCAAATAAGTCTAGTTAACATCCATCACCACACATAGTTACAAACCATTCTTTCTTAAAATGACAACTTATAATAAGATATATCCTCTTAGTAACTTTTAAATATAGAAAACAATATTAATTATAGTTACCATGCTGTACATTAATTATATCCTCATAACTTATTTATTTTATAACTGAAAGTTTGTACCTTTTGACTACCTTCACCAATTTTTCTCACCTCCCACCTCTCTAAAGCACCAATCTCTTCTTTATATCTATAAGTTCATTTTTTCCTTTTAGATTCCACTTATGAGATAATATGATGTTTGTCTTTATCTGACTTATTTTACTTAGCATAATACCCTCAGACCATCTATGTTGTTGCAAAAGTCAAGATTTTCTTTTCTAGAATGCATTTCTGAATTATTCTGCAGAATAATATTCCATTCCCAATATATGTTACATATGTAATATATATTTATAATATATGTTATATATTACATAAAATGTATGTTTTATATATACATATTTTATATATACATAAAATAATGTTTTATATATATAAACATTTTCTTTAACCATTTACTCATTGATAGATATTTAGTTTCCTTTCATAACTTGGCTTCCTTTTTAAAAAATAATGATGTAATAAACATCGGGGTACATATATCTTTTTAAGTTAGTGGTTTTGCTTCCTCATTTGTTGGGAGGCTTTGGTTACTGATTCAATATTTTTACCAGTAATTGGTCTGCTCAGATTTTACATTGCTTCATGATTCAGTCTTGGTAGGTTGTATGTTTCTAGGAATTCATTCATTTCTTCTAAGTTTCCAATATGTTGATTTATAATTGTTCATAGTAGCCTCTTATGACCCTTTGTATTTCTGTGGTATCAGTTGTAATATCTCTTCTTTCATTTCTAGTTTTATTCATTTAATCCTCTTTATTTTTTTCTGATGAATCTAGCTAAAAGTTTGCATATTTTATCTTTTCAGAAAACCAATTCTTAATTGCATTAATCTTTTCTATTGTCATTGTAGCCTCTATTTTACTTATTTTATTTCTGATCTTTGTGTTTTCTTCCTTCTATTAACTTTGGGCTTCGTTTGTTTTTATTTTTCTATTCATTTGGGGGTAAAGTTAGGTTATTTGTTTGCGATCCTTCTTCTTTCTTGATTTAGGCATTTTTATTGCTATAAACATCCCACTTGGGACAACTTTTATTGGACTTCGTAAGATTTGGTGTGTTGTCTTTCTATTTTCATTTGTCTCAAGGTAGTTATTTTTTTTCTTTTCTTATTTCTTTTTGACACATTAGTTGTTCAGTAGCATGTTGTTTAATCTACATATTTGCAAATTTTTCAGTTTTATTCTTTTAACTGATTACTAGTTTTATACCATTGTGGTCAGAGAAGACTTGTTATGGGCTTAACATATGATCTATCCTGGAGACTGTTTTATGTGTACTTTAGAATGTATATTCTGTTGCTTTTGGATAGAACGCTCTGTATATATCTGTCAAGTTCACCTGATTTAATGAGTCATTTAAGGCCAATGTTTCCTTATTGATTTTCTGTCTAAATGATCTATCAATTGATGTGAGTGAGGTATTAAATTTCCCTACTAGTATTGTTTTGCTGTCTATTTATTTCTTTAGGTCCATTAAATGCTTCATATATTTAGGTGCTTTTTGGGGGACTGTATAATTATTTACAAATGTTATATCCTCTAGTTGGATTGATTCCTTGGTCATTATGAAATGACCTCCTTTGCTTCTTATTATGGTCTTTATTTATTTTATGGTCTATTTTTACTGATATAAATAGCTGCCCCAACTTTTTTGGTTTTCATTTGCATGGGATATCTTTTTTCTATATTTTTACTTTACATTTCTGTTTGTTCCTAAATTTTAAAGAAGTCTCTTGTATGCAACATAGATAGTCATATTTCACTTAATGGTGGGGATATATTCTGAGAAATGCATCATTAGGCAATTTTGTCATTGTGCAAACATCATAGAGTACACTTACACAAACCTAGATGGTATAGCATGCACCATGATCAAGTGGGATTTATTTCTGAGATTCAAGGTTGGTATAATATCTACAAGTCAATTAGCATGATCTACCACATAAACAAAATGAGGATAAAAATCATATGATACTGGCATAAAAATAGACAGGCAGATCAGTGGAATGGAATAGAGAGCCCAGAATTAAACCTACACATGTACTTCCAATTGATCTTCAGTGAGGGCACTGAGAATACCCAATGGGAAAAGAATAATCTCTTCAATAAACAGTGTGGGGAAAATTGGATATGCACCTGAAAATAAATCATCTCAAAATAGATTAAAGATTTAAACCTAAGACCTGAAATTATAAGAATTATAGAAGAAAACATAACCAGTCCACAAGGCATCTTCTAATTTTAAAGTACAAGTTTAGGGGGTTTTTTTGCTTTTCTGAAAGTTCTATTTAATTTGACTCTTTGCTTTGAGTGTACGTTGATAAAGACCTTTGAATAGCAATTTGAAGAAATTTAATATGATTGAACCATTCAACTTTTCATTGTCTTTCTTCTCTCTCTCTCTCTCTCTCTCTCTCTCTCTCTCTCTCTCCCCCTCTCTTTCTCCTGTTTGCCAGACAATCTACTGCATAAAACACAGAATTGCTTGCCCTCTTTTAAATGAATATAAATATTTTATAAGAAAGATATAAATTTTTTGGAAAGTAGATTCTCAAAACATGTATATAAGCAGAAACTTAGCTAAGTTCCAATGACAGTAAGGTCCAATAAGTACTTATATGTGGTAATTTTATAAACGACAAAACAATAAATGGATTCACCTACAGATCTCTAGTTCTTTCACCTCTTTCTAAGAAGACTTATAACATAAATTGTTTTTATATATGTTTCACATAAAACTATGGCCTCTTATTACATACAATAGGCTGTGTTAATAAAATTGCATTAGCATCTGTCAGCAATCCTAAATAAACTGAAGTGTCAAGTAGAAAACAACTTCTTCCCTTAAGTGTTAAACTTGCAAAACTAGACTTTTTGTTTTTGTTTCCTTATTCTTTATATCTTCACTTTTTTATTAAAAAAAGTGAATTGTTAATTAATGGGACACATTCACAAATGACTCTTTAGAGAGATAGCTGTCTAAATAAAGCTTTTTCCCCCTTATCTCTCATTTTTTGGAGAACAATCTGACGTTGCTACTTTTGTATTTTTTGTCTCTGTCTGAACTCATTTATTTTCCATATATCTAAAAAGAAGGTGGTGGGGGATCCTACAGGAAAAAAGACCCCTGCACTGTAAAATACAAATTTTAAAAGAAAAATATCCTGAATTGCTTCATTATTCTATTTTCCATTTCCCCTTCAAGCCACTACATTCAGGTACCACTCTAGTGATTTCCTAATTGCCAATCAAAGGCGGCTTTTCATTCTGTTTTATTCAACTTCTCTGCAGCATTTGACACTTTATTACTCCCTTCCTCTTGAACTGTTTTCTGTGGCTCTAGCTCACCTCTCTTTTTGACTCTGGTGCTTTCAGAATTCTGTGCTTGACTCTCTTAAATTTTCACATTACATATTTCCTCTAAATTATTTATTTCATTTGTATATCAATATCTACCACTTATAGACTGGTAACTTGGTTGCAGAATTAATTAACAATTCACTGAAATAATTAAATATCAAGGAATTAAAATTAATGAGCCCCCTGACTTAATATAGAATTGTCGCTAAAATACAGGTGTTTAGCTCAATTTTAATTTTTTCAGCTGCAGGAAAAGCACAACAAATTTCATGTGTGCATATATTGTGTTCCCTTGGCTTTTGAGTAAGTGTGGTTTATCCATAGTCTCTCTTTTTGAATGACCTCTCCACACCTCTGACTCTCCTCCACCTTCACCCACCTGGAAAATGCCTAGTTTTCAGTGAAAAGTTTCCTTGTTGCTACAGAATTCTTGTGAACATATGTATCTTGGTTCCTATTAAACTTTATTAGTCTGTATCATCCTACTAGATTATAAGCCTTTCAAAGTCAAACACCACATATTATTTAGTGTTTCATCCCCCAAATCTAGGACAGTACCTCATACATAGTAAAATTTAAACATTTGTTTATGTGAATAAGTGCCTTCCTACAATTCTTTTTGGCCCCATAGTTTAGACTTTCTAATAGAAGCCAAGTAAAATGTTTATGTCCTTATTTTGCTCTCTCTGAAATGTCCTGTTCCTCCAATATTCTACCTCATGTAAAATTATATGAATACTTTTATATGTTCACAATACAGGAAAGATTCCAGGGATTTGAGATTTTTAAAATTACATTCAAAATAATGGTAAGAACTACTAATTAATGTAAATATACTTTCTATTTGTTAAAAATATAGTAAATAATTAAAATGTCACAACTGCTGCATTCTCTATTTGCATAACATAATTACAATTGCAGGTAGAACTATGAAGGGTTTTTTTTTTGTAATTGCTTGGCGTAATTCACAATTGTCGTTGCATACCTTTACCCACTTTCTTTTCAGGAGCAGTTTATGGAAGAGAGAAAGTAAATTAAGTAAAAAGAATGAATTTAGCTATCCCTTGTGGGTAATGAAAACCCACAATGGAAAATATAGATCTTCTTGATCTTTCCAAATTATAATACACTGATCATTAGATAACCCAAATGATGAATTTTCCTTTCTTAATTGAAGATATAAAAAAAGTCCCCATCAACTACAATTTTGTAATCATTTGCAATGAATTTTTTAACCTATTGCATATAATCAATGATTATCAGGGGAGTTTTTTGTTTTATGTCAAAGGCTAATTGAATTATCATCCATATACCCTTTGGATCCTCATTATTCCCTTCTTCATTCCCTTTGACAGCTATTCATAGTATTATCATATAGCAGGGTAGAAATGATTAGGATGACCTTTTGCCTTTAACAACCCTTAAATAACTAACCTGTATATGTTTTCTCTCTGCTAGCTCCAGACTTGGATTTAGAAATTCAAGTAAAAATCAATAAATTCCAAGGGATCCAGATTAAATGTTCCTCAGGAGGATGGTTCCCGCAGCCTCAGATGCAGTGGGTTAACAGCAGAGGAGAATTAATTCCACTTTCATCAAAATCTGAGACACAGGATGAAGCTGGTCTATTCCATATGCACATTACTCTTTTCCTTGAACAGTCCCAGGGAATGATCACATGCTGGCTTCAGCATCCAGAAACTGGCCAAGAGAAAAGGACAAGCATTCAGATGGCAGGTGCGTGCTAAGAAATGGGTTCTCCCATTGATGACCATTTCACAAGCATTATGAACTAAGGAGAAAACAAACAGGCATGTTGAGTCATGTAGCTTAAATTTATATTAAACCTTTGGAAATAATAACAGAGCCAGATACTAAAAGGGAATTTTTAATGTACAAAATATAATGATGATGATAATAATAATAATGATGATAATAATAATAATTTTCTGCCCAGCAGGATCCAATTTTAAAGGATTTTAAAATATTGAGCTCACTCAATTCTCAGGTATTTTGAGACCCCTCTTTCTAGCTAGGTAATGCCATCTCAATTTTCTCACTTTTCAAATGAAGATAATTATTAAATCATTGAAAATTTCAATGGAAAATGAATATAAAATACATTTGCTAATTATAAGTCACTAGAAAGAATATTTTAACATAAATATTTAATAAATGTGAATGGATGAAGACTCCAACTCAAAGTGTTGAAGTTGAGTCATCGAATTTCACACTACTGAGTGGAAGATCAGAAAATAATTCATCATCTGACTTTGAGCCCTGTTTACTTTCCCAAAAATAAGAGATATATTTCTGTTATGGGTTGCTATGAAGAAAGGATCTTAAAAGGTGACTTTAGAGTATCCAATTCAGCCTTAAAAACTAATATAAAAAAGGTGCTATGAGTACTGGATCCTGATAACAATGGAGTTCAACTCGTTATTCAAGACATACCTTTCCTCCCCTATAAATACCTATGGAAAAATCATGAGAATATAAAATAAACATAATCAATTTTTCCTTTTATTTACACATTAGAGGCCCAGTGCAAAAATTGGTGCATGGGTGGGGTCCAGCTAGTCCCCCTTGATGGGGGCCAATCGGGCCAGGCCAGTGGAAGGGAGGGGCCACAGGTGGTTGGCCAGCCAGCCCCGCCCCCTATTGGGGTGTTGGGGGCCAATGCGGGGGTGGCGATCAGAGTCTGGATTAGGCCAGTTAGCTGCCGCAGTGTGTCATAGCCACCGGTCGTTTTGGTCGTTCTGGTTGTTCTGCCATTCCAGTCGCTGGGCTTTTATATATATAGACGTTACAATTAAGAGCCCAGATTTGTGCACATTGAAAGGAAATTAATTAGAAGGTGGCTTGTGGGGCAGGATTGGGAGAGATGGGCTGAACACACCCTGGAGCCAAATTCCCACGGTCCCTCACCTGGGGCGGCACCATGGCTCCAAGTGCATCTGCAGAGTGATCAGGGTCCCTCTGGCAGGTGGGGTCCCTTGGCCAGGCCTGTGGGGATCAGGCCAAAACTGGCTCTCCAACATTCCTTGAAGAGTCCCTGATTGCCAGACAGCTGGTCTTGGGTGACGCACCCTGGAATTGGGCTCCCTCCTCTCTGGTTCCAGATGCATCAACCGAGAACAGCAGCTGCCAAGTCACCGCAGCTCGGCATCCCTGCGTTGAGCGTCTGCCCCCTGAGGCCTTGCGGCTCTGCTGATCCCCGGGCAGTGAGGCCTCTCTGCTCTGCGGCTTCAGGGCTGTTTGGCTTCACTCTACCGCTTGGAGCCTGAGTATGCAGATTAACCGCCATCTTTTAGCTTCTATAATTGAAACATTGTATCTTTTGGAGCTGTTGCTTCAGGAGCTCAGAGCCCCGCAGCTGCAGGCGGGGGGAAGGTTGGAGTCTGCAGCAAGCAAGCCTCGTGCTCGCTTCAGTGCCTGGCTGCCGGCCGCCATCTTGGCTGACAGTTAATTTGCATATACTCACTGATTAGCCAATGAAAAGGGTAGCGGTCGTATGCTAATTACCATGTTTCTCTTTTATTAGTGTAGATTCTCCTCTTCACCCTCAGAATAGCCAGTACCTTCACCCTCAGAATAGCCAGTACCTTGCTCTTTTCCAGGGGAAGGTAAAAATCTGCTCAGGACTGCTATTCTCATAATTTGAGTGGGTGGTTTGTTCCTCTAGTTTTTTCTATTAGGTTATCTGATTGCACTAAAAAATCCTATCTAATAAAAGAGAAACATGCAAATTGACCATACCTCAGCTATGCCCACAAGCCACGCCTACCAGCCAAACAGAGAAACTATGTAAATTAACCCAATTAAGATGGCCATGAAAAAGGAGGGGCTGGAAGCTTGGGTTACTGGGGGGCTTGGCCAGCCTGCAAACAGCCCTCAGCCCCTCACCCAGGCTGGCCAGGCACCCCAGCGGGGACGCCCACCCTGAAAGGGCTATGACAAACCTGAAAATGGCCCTCATCCCTTCACCCAGGCTGGCCATGCCCCCATGGAGTAAGAGTTCCTGCTGGGGACCGTGGCCAGCCTGCAAACAGGATCAGCCATCAGCTCACCCAGGCTGGCTAGGCACCCCAGCCGGGACCCCCACCCTGAAGGGGCTATGGCAAGCCTGAAAACGGCCCTCAGCTCCTCACCCAGGCTGGCCATGCCCCCATTGAGTAAGAGTCCCTGCTGGGGGGCATGGCCAGCCTGCAAACAGCCATCAGCCCACCCAGGCTGGCCAGGCACCCCAGCAGGACCCCCCACCCCGAAGGGGCTGTGGCTAGCCTGAAAACATTCCTCATCTCCTCATTCAGGCTGGCCAGGCACCCCAGCATAACCCCCCCACCCTGAAGGGGCTGTGGCCAGCCTGCAAACAGCCATCAGCCCCTCACCTAGGCTGGCCAGGTGAGTGGTTAAGATCCAGCAGTCCTGGATTGCGAGAGGGATGTCCAACTGCCAGTTTAGGCCTGATTTCTGTAAACTGGCAGTAGGACATACTTCGAGGGGTCCCAGATTGGAGAGGGTGCAGGCCAGGCTGAGGAACACCCCCACCCCTCCGTGCATGAATTTTGTGCACCGGCCCACTAGTAAGAGAATAAAGTAGAAATATATATTTTTTGCTCCTTTCAAATAGCATTATAATTTGAACTAAGGATTTCAAACATAAGAAGTGGATATATATCACTGTGAATATTAGTAGTGTAAGATGTCTTCAGAAGGATGGTGTGATATATGAAGGATGACAGGCTAGGAGATATTTGGGGACCTCAGTAACTTGGATTTGGGAGGTACAGGGAGGAAGTTCAGTACAAGTTAATAAGCATTCAATTTTAGGGTTGACAACAAAGAGGAACATTTAATTGCCTTATACCCAATATTTTAGGGGGCATAACAAAATTATGCTAATACCTATGGAGTTCTAACTTGAATTTGCACTATAAATGATGTAACTGGGAAACAGGAAAAATATCTTATCATGATTTATGTAACATTTTAATTATTTTCCTCAATAAACATTTTTCCTGGTAGTTATCCTATATAATAAAAGGCTAATATGCAAATCAACTGAATGGCAGAACGACCAGTTGCTATGATGCGCACTGGCCACCCGGGAGCAGAAGATCAATGCATAAGTTGCCCTCTGGTGGTCAGTGTGCTCCCCCGGAGGGAGTGCTGCTAAGACAGAAGCTGGGTTCACATCTGGCAAGTGCAGCTGCGATGGCGGGAGCCTCTCCCGCCTCTGTGGCAACGCTAAGGATGTCCAACTTCTGGCTTAGGCCCACTCCCCCAAGGGCTCCTGAACTGCGAGAGGGCCCAGGCTGGGCTGAGGGATTCCCCCCCCCCCCACCCATGTGCACAAATTTCATGCACCAGGCTTCTAATAGGTTATAGTGAACATAGCAGATAGACCAAATGATGTATGCTAAGGCTTGAGTTCCAGAGATTGAAAATCAGAAAATCATATTAATGTATGGGCATATGAACAGAAAAGAAGAAAAGCTAGCTTTTCTTATTTTTTAAGTTCTGAATTTCATTAATCTAATATAAAGTTTCGCCGAAACCGGTTTGGCTCAGTGGATAGAGCGTCGGCCTGCGGACTGAAAGGTCCCAGGTTCGATTCCGGTCAACGGCATGTACCTGGGTTGCGGGCACATCCCCAGTAGGAGATGTGCAGGAGGCAGCTGATCGATGTTTCTCTCTCATCGATGTTTCTAGCTCTCTATCTCTCTCCCTTCCTCTCTGTGAAAAATCAATAAAATATATTAAAAAAAAATAATATAAAGTTTCATTTGTCCTTCTATTTGAGTCCACTACCAATTTAGTCATCTTTCTATAAAAGTAGGTTGAAGCAAAGAATACATATATTACAAGAAAGCAGATTTAAGCTTGATTCAGAAGAATAGTTTTTTTTTATATTCGGACAGCTCAAATTGTAGAACAATTTCTTTTAATAGATCATGGCTGTACCTTTTAAAATAATATTGAGATTTAAATTGCCATCAGATTATTATTTCCCAAATCTGTTTGTATGAGAGTGGACTCTTTTCTTTAGTCACAGCAACATATTCCCACAAGAGACATGATTGAGAATATATATGAGAAAGAATAAATACTTGGACAAAAAAAAATGTCAATGTTTGGTGTAAATTGAGTTGTTGCAGAAAACCCAATACAGAAAAAATCTGAAGTGGGCTGTGATACTAGTTTTCAAAAGATAGTAAGTTTTTGATACAAAGCAGACAATGGTATATCTGATCTATTGCTATCTATCTCAGGTACTGGGAAAGAGATGAATGTGAATTGATGAAGAGATAGTTGGAATCAGATTACACACCTATAGAGTGGATAATAAAGCAAGGAACAAGGGAAATAGATCTGATCACTAACCTCTTTAATGTTTGGTGACTCTATTCATAGAGGAATGTGGCCATGCTGTATTCTGATTTTCTGATTAATCATATTAGCACTCTCCTGGCATTTAGAGAAAAAAAGAGGGAACATGTTGAGAACCTGTTCTTCATCAGATTCTTGCATCATCACTGGAAGTGTTTAAGTAGACATGTGGGTACAAAACTGTTTAAAATGATAAAATAATAATAATAGCTGAGATTTACTGATTTTCACTAAGATTTTAAGTAAACTAATCTAAATTATTTATATATTATCTCAGTTTATTATTAGTTAATATTAGAAAATTTTATCTCAATTTTTAAATAAATACTAGACAAATGAAGCAT